GACAAAGATTTGTCCTGACTGTGGGCAAGGCGAAAAAATCAAGCTACAATAGTCGTCCTGTTGATAGAATCTACAAGTCATGGTAATTACTCTCTAAAACAGACTTGATGAGTGCAGAAAGAAGTATCATTCAGGTGTGTGTGTGTGTGTGTGTGTGTGTGTGTGTGTGTGTGTGTGTGTGTTGTGAGGCACAATGAATGCAGCAGAACAAGATGCATGAAAAGGAAGGAATGATTGTGCACAGGTTCCAGAGAGACAGAGATTACAATAGAAAAATCATTACATCATTGTAAGGAAATATAGAGATGACACAGAGTTTAGTGTGTGTGTGTGTGTGTGTGTGTGTGTGTGTGTGTGTATTCAAGTATGCATGTTCAGTTGAAAGACAGAGAGGAGGGTGTGTGTGGGGGAGCAGAGAGTTGAAGAGAGATTGGGAATTGCCCGGTTCTGACATATTAAGACCCATGACCCTATCCTTAGGTTTTCCCATGTGGTGGTAGATTGGCTAGTGTAAAGAAACGATGTCAGAAGGGGGAATTTATCTAATGGCTCCCTAGCATTAACCATTTGATGTTGTCATGGTCAGTAGCTGAGGGTGAGTTGAGCTTGAACTAGTTTCTTAAATATGTCTCTTTAAGGAGAACTTTGGCATCTTCAGTCACTATGTTAAGGCACTGAAGTTGTAAGTTATAGAATTTACGATAGTAATGAGGTATAGCAGAGGACATGAAAAGGGTTGAGCCTATATTCTTCCCAAATTTGAGAAGCATTTCTGTAAATGTTTCTTCTTTCTCAGTTTCTGACAATCCAGGAGATGTAAGTTTTTTTTTCAACCTTTCAACAGGCACTTGGGTATCTTTAGCTATGAATTCCAGTGATTTATTATCCACTCCAAAGTGGACACGATATTGGTTTAAAATCTCTTTCTGCTTCTTCACATCACTGTCCAGGAAGGTGCCCACTAGAGGAAGGATCTTCCAAATGGTACGCATGCTGGCTTCTTTCCAGATAGTCTCCTTAATAGAGTCACGGTTTCTTTCAATGGCTGCCCCTGTAATATCATGCAAAAAAAGCATAGTACTGTAGCGTTTTTGAACCGGTGCCTCCTTTTTCAGCATCTGCCTCAGGAATGAAAAATCGTAGTCATATGAATGGTGATTAGAGATCAAGAAAACCAGCGGTGCATCCATGTCATTCTGACAAAGGGTATTCATATAGTCGCTTCTCATCTGCTGCAGGCTCTTTTCTCTGTCAAAGGTGTCCAGTTTGACTTCCTTTTTCTCATGGAAATCAATGTCCACCTTGGTTCTCACAAAGTAGAAATTCTTATTCATAAGTTTTATTTTTCTGGCAAGGTCTAGTTCAAGTTTTGTAAAACACGTGTCAAAAATAATAATGAAGAAGTCATACTCTTGGAATTTCGCTTTCTCCAGATAATATTTTCGCTGAAAGTCCATAGTTTCAATGCCAGGCAGCTTCCATAAATACAAAGTTTCAATTTGGAGGTATTTGTATGGAATTCTCTCCATAGTTGACTCTCCTATCCCAACTTCAGCTGCACCTTCCTCTTCAGGACCAGCCTCCCTCAGGGCATTGATGAAGCTGGACTTCCCTGCTCCAGACTTTCCCATCACAGCAATGTTGATTGGGATGTCATCAATATTTTTTACTGTATCCCTTAGTACAGATTTTTCCCACTGAATGTTTCCATTTGTCAGTTGTTGCTCAATTGAATGGATGGTTTCCTGAGGAATGATTGTGTTTTCTGCTTTACACGTCATTAAATATTCAGGGAAGCTGGGTTCCCAAGAGAACTGAGCCATGACTGTGGGTGAACAAAGGCCCTGAAAGAAAGAAAGGAGAGTAAGTTGCTAGAGACCAAAGATGCTTTGTGCTTAGCGCTGTGTGCTCTATGCTGTATCAGTGACCGAGTGATGTTGACTAGTTCACAGACATGTTGTGCTGAGTATTCTTTGTCAACAGTATACAAACTAGAGTCCTCGTGGTAGAGAACACCTCAGTTGAAGTCAGCTCTATCACTTTGGTCTGGGGGCATGGTTATGGGGGCATTTTCTTGATTGAGTGTTGATGTGGGAAGACTCAGTCCAGTGTGCATGGTACCATCCCGGGGCAGGTGGTCCTGGGTTGTCTAGGAAAGCAAATGTTCAAACTATGGGGAGCAAGCCAGTAAACAGCATCCCCGCAATGTTCCTGCCTCTGCTTGTGTTTCTGCCCTATTTTCCCTCAGTGATGGACGGTGATAAGAATGTGAAAACTGCAAAAACCCCCTTTCTCCCCAAAATACCTTTGATCATGGTGTTTATCCCAGCAATAGAAAGCAAACTAGGACATATTTCCACTTGCTCTCCATTAAACCCTTAATTATGTAGACATTAAAACTTAAATAAAATATATGAAATAATATAAAATTCTGCCTGTGTCATTAGTCAGCATTATAAACCACTAGCACATGAACAATTGTGCTTCTTCTAACATGACTGGAGTATTCTATATGAAATCCATCTGTGCACACTTCCCTCGGTGTGTACCTCAAATTATTGGGCAATTAAACAACATATATCTAGTTTCTCAAATTGAAAATTAAGTAATAATGAGTAATAATTGATATCTGTGGTTAATCAATGCTAAATATCTCTACAGATCACATAGATCTTTCTCTATTTTATTTTTATTTTCGAAAGATGTCAGTAAGTCCAGTCAGCTGAGGATTCTGTAGAGGTAAGAAGTCTCTCTAGTGGCTGCTCCTTTACTTCTCTGATCTTTCAGCATTTACCCTGATATCTGACTCCAGGATCTTATTATTAAGACCAACTGGAATTTGCACTACATATATCTAATTATCCCAGACCCCATATTTCTGCCCTTTTTTCTCCACAAACCTGACTATTAGACCTCACCTTGCAGCACAATGGACCTCACCATCAGTTATGGAGACAGCAAATCTCTGCTGTCACCTGGAACCTCCTCTTTCTGTCTCAATATCAAATCAGTTCTCAGACTCAAAGTATATTTCTAAATCCTTTCACAATTGATCACTCTTCCTTCATTATCTTCTTCAAGATCTCCTCAATTTCAGATTTGATTATATCACCAACATTACTATATTTCCTGTGACCGTTCTTGCAACAACATGGATGATCAAACAGCTGGAGTTATCTTTTTGACACTGACGTCATGTCATGCCAAGTCAATTCTGAGAGGCACTATAAAGATTCCCATTTCACTCAGGGAAAGTTCATTAGGTATATAGTGCACATGCTACATACAACATTCCTTTGACATTTATTATTGCACTTCTGGGCCACTGGTGTCTGAATCCCAGTCACCCCAGTATCTTGGGCTGTCTTCTCATCTCAGGACTTTGTACTTAGTGACTGCTTCCTTTCCTCATTGCTCTCCCCCAGGAACCACATGGCTATTCACTTAATCACCTCTCTCTAGGTTCTGCTTCGATTACACAGGATTCAGTACTGATGTTCTCATTGGGAGCTAGAACTATACCTGTCTCCATCATTCACAATCTTTTGGTTGTGTTTCAATTTCTCCACAGCAACTGCTACCATATAATGTGTATTTTTCTGGGTTTATTTGCTATCATTCTCCCACAGTGTAATGAGCCTCAAAGAGCACTTCTTCACCACTGGCACAGAGGTACATGGTGGTTTATCATCAGTGATTGAATGGGGACTATGAGTGAATCACTTGGACTTTATCATGAACATTTGTGCCTGTTCTTTAATTCCAACTGCTCAGTGGGAAATTGAAGTCCTACAGACCCAGTCCAATCTACAGGACAGTTGGGGACAGCTGTGTATGAACCCAGAGCTGCAGATCTTTGTTCAAACTGAATGCAGACACAGGCCCAGGAAGGTGTGGTTAAAGAGAATGTCCTAAAAGGGAAGCTAACCCTGGTTAAATAAACACCACAGCCAGATTTACTGATGAAGGGGACAGTCACCCACAGGGCACAGACAGACGTCTCTGCAGCATACAGGCTGTTCTGTCTTTTCAGTTTTTCCCTCTCGTGCTTTCAGTTCCAGCTCCTGGATTTGTGATGCAGACTCAGGTGTGACATTTGTCTGCAAGGTCTGCCCACTGAACGTGAACACGGTAAACAAGAAGGCTGTGACACAGCAAACATTACAGAAGGAAGCCTGCCTAAGTGACACCTAAGTGTCACCACCACATACTGACGTAGCTCAAGTTCTCACAGATGGAGAGAAGATTCTTAGCACTCCTGCTTTACAATGAAAAAAACTACAGTGAAGAAGATTCTTCAGGCACAGATTTCCACAGCCGGCTCCAGCAGAAGCAGCCTGCAGAGAGACCTCTTCTCCACAGGCCAGAGGCCTCGGGATACAAGGAATTAAATAGTTGAGCTGAACTAGGAAGCTAGATGAGAGTGAGATACAGCAACCTCAGGCACACTGCAGAGATATTCCATTATCTGAACATCTCATCACAACCATTTTAGGGAGAGGAATACGTGGTAAGCAAATAAATTTGATATGTTTTTACCAAAAACAGCATCCAGATCATTTCATTTAGGTCTATCTCAACTTGGAGGACTGGCTAAGGCCATCCACGAGGCAGTCCTGTCTACCTCCCACCAAAGCACCCTAGCTTCCAAGCTGAGGATCCTCACTTTCAGGGCATGTTCCTAAATGTCTTGTTATCTATCCCTTCGTTAGAGAAAAGAGATAATGAGGGTTTGAAGTTAGATTTTAATGCTCCTGTCCACTTACCAGAAAATCCTATGTCCGCTGGATTCACACTGCTGCAGTTCAGCAGCAGGAACCACTGCACTGCGCTCCAGGCTCGTTCCTTGAGACTCACCCCTGCCGCCTCTGTGGAAAGCAGCAGGTGCAAGGCAGTTGGGCAGGACTTATACACTCCTCTGACTTCTGCCCTCCTTCTAGGTGTGTGTTGGCCAATCATAGAAGAGCATGGATAAGGTTGATTTTCAGAATCACTGCATTTCCAAGAAGTGGAAAATGAAAATCAAACTATCAGTTGTATTTCATTCTATTATGTGCAATCCTACAATAATAAAGTATGTGGAGTGTGTTACTTGGAACCTGATCGGGGATATAAAGAAGCAGCTTGCCAGCTAGCCTGGAACACAATCCTTAAACGATAATTGTCCTCAATCCCTGTTGATAGAAATGCAGCCTGAACTAAAGTCATACAACACGTTGTCTGGGTCCTCTGCAGGCTGCCAGTCAATCTTAGTCTCATCCAAGATACAACCCATCTCCTGCCTCTGTCTAAAAACTTTTTTTTTTTTTTTCTGAGACAGGGTTTCTCTGTGTAGCTTTGCGCCTTTCCTGGAACTCATTTGGTAGCCCAGGCTGGCCTCAAACTCACAGATATCTGCCTGGCTCTGCCTCCCGAGTGCTGGGATTAAAGGCGTGCACCACCACCGCCCGGCTCTGTCTATAATCTTTTTTACTCACAAGATTCATATTTTTTAATTCTTGTCATTCACAATCCCCATGTCCTGCTGGGATTTCTTATGCATTGGGTTTGACAGGTCTCACACATGCTTTCACAACCACTCTGAGTTCCTATGTGGAGCTGCCCTACTGTGTCCAGAAGATACTGTTTCCTTGTGGTCATCCACCACCTCTTGCTCTTATAATCTTTTTACCCCATCTTCCACAACCATTCCTGTGCCTTTGAGGTAGAAGTATTTATGTTACATTAAACCTAGACATTCTTCAGTGTCTTAGTCTCTGCATCATGGCCACTGTGGTTATCTGTATTGATTATCATCTACTAAAATTAAGAGCATCCATTGTGAGGGTTGAGTGATGTCTTAATCTATGGGCATAATGAGAAATCATTAGGAGGTGGCTTAATAGCATGTCCATTTAACAGTAAAATAATAGTGATTTGTTCCTAAGGTATATAATCTGTTCAGCCTTAAGTTCTTAGCCAGATATGGGGTTTCATCTTGTGGAGAAGCTATTAAATCCAATCAGGAAGCAGTTGGTTCTTCCATGCCAATTTTTCCACTATTGCACTTGTGGGTAGGTCTTGAGGGTCCTCTCATTGTTGTAGCTCAGAGAAGTTCACAGCTGGGTGTGATTTATGATTCCCCTTCTCCTCTGGTAGTATAGACAGTACCTTCCAGCATTATGAATGCTAGCCAGCAGTGATGAAGCTTCTGGGTCGGTATCAACTTGATTTTGCCATGATTTATAAGTCAAGCACGTGGTATGTTCACTAATTGGAAGTTCCAAATTCTGGAAGTTAACCAAGAGCTGTATCAGTGGCCGGTAATGGTCAGGGACAACACTGGCCAACAACTCTAAAAATCTGATTCCTGGGACTCAGGTCTGTCTATTTGTTGCCCTGTGGTGTCTAGCTGGGGCATTGTTGCCCAGGTTGAGGTCAACTCTATCTGAACTCCTTTCATATATGTGTATAGATTTAGTTTAGGAAGCCTCGACAGTAGTAGGTTTTCATTTGACTTTTTAAAATACTTTAGTGTTATTTATCCCTCCATTCTCCCTCTTCATATTTTTATTATTAATTCATCAATTGTTGGATATCTAGACATTTTCCTTTTCCTGACTATTGTGAATAGAGAAGAAATGAATATGGTCTAGGCAGTATCTCTGTATCAGCATAGAGAGTCCTTTGGGAATATTCCCAGGAGTGGTACAGCTTGACCATGGGGTAAACTTATTTTCACTTTTTGGGGAACTTCCACACAAATTGCCTGAGTGGCTGCCCCAGTTTGCACACTCACCAGCAGTGACTGAGATTTTTCTTTCCCCACATGCACAACAGAATTTGTTGCCATTTGTATTTTTGTTTCCAGCTACTCTGGGTGGGGTGAGATAAAAATCCCAAAGTAGTTTCTATTTGTGATTTCCTGATGGATAGAAATGTTACACATCTAACAAATGTGTCTCAGTCATTTCTATATTATCTTTTGAGAAGCTGTGTTTGGTTCATGCTCCAATTTAATGTCGGGTTGCTTCTTTTCTTGATGTGTAATAGCTCTTCATAGATTCTAGATCCTAACCCCCTGACCAGTACATAGCTGGCAAAGATTCTTCCCATTTTGTAGGCTGCCTCTTTGATTGAGTGATGGTGTCTTTTTCAAAAGACATTCTTGAGACAGTGTCTTAACTCTATCCAAGAGTGGTCTGGTACTGACTTGTAGTCTAGGCTGGTCCTGAGCTTATGGTGATCCTCCTGCCTCAGCCTCCTAAGTGTTAAGACTGTAGCTGTGAGTCACTGTGCCTGCCTGGCTCAAAAAGCTCCTTTATAATTTTGGGATTCAGTCTATAGCTTATTGATGATATGTCATATTAAACTGCCCTCTGTAGATGGATATTGGACGTGGTGTACAGTGTCTAACTCTTATTTATGGCTCCCGAGCCCTTCTTCTCTGTCTGCTGCCATGCTCCTGGCCATCATGGGCATGGATGCACTCTCTGAAAGTTGGAGCATGCCCCTCCTCCCCCACCATCTGGAATTAAATATTTTCTTTTATAAGTTACTTGATCATAGTTTTTCTTCACAGCAGTGCCAATAAACACTGATTTCAAGTTAGAGTAGTAAAAAGGACATGGTTCTATCATAAAACAAAACACAAAACACACTGATCAATGGAATAGGACCAGGGACACTGGTGTAAATACACACACCTACAATCATAGGCTTTTTGACACAGAACTCAATGATACATACTGGAGCAAATATAGCATCTTCAAGAATCTGTGCTGGGAAAACTGAATATTTAACACGTTGAAGATTGAAATTTGATTGTTATCACCCATCCTGTCTGAAATCAGTTCCAAAGTAACCAAAGACTTCAAAGTGATACTTAAAATTCTGATACCTCCATGGGAACATACTAGGAATACATTTCAGAACATAGGCTCGGGTAAGAACTTTCTTAGTGGAACCCTCTTCACACAGGAAATGCAGCCATCATACAAGAAGTGAGAGTTTATAAAGTTATGCTTCTGTTGTGGCTGCATTGCGAGACCCCCGAGCAAGACCACCACAGAGCCGATATCCAATGCAAAACACACAGGGGTTTATTGATAACAAGCAAGCCTGGGCTTGGTCTGTGTCCAACACTCGACACAGTGGGTGTTGGGTTTTTAAAGGGAGAAACTGCAAGCAGGGTGATACAAGTCTTTGTGTCGTATGATTGATTGGGTGAGGGTATGTAATCTTTGAATTTACTGGTTGGGGGTTACAGTTACCATTTTTGGGCAGGCCTGGACAAGTCCCATTCTTTGTCCTTGAGCTGCCATGGGGGCTGGCTGGCCTTGTACATACTTACTGTGGGGGCTGACTCAGTGGCCCAGGCTCTGTCCTTGAACTGCCATGGAGGCTGGCTGGCCTCACACGTTTACATTGACCCACGCACGTAGCTCTATGTTGGTGAGGGGTCCCAGACAGTAAACAACTAGCTGAACCTTGAGCAGTCAGAGCACGTGCAGAAAGGGAGCTACTGCAAGGACTATGTCTTTTGTTCATGGCCCTCCCAGAAACTGCTTGCTCAAGTCTCAGGAAACTGAAATTGAGGCCTGATCTCTGAGAGAAGACTGAGCAGCCTGTTATGGCATCTGCCTGGTCCTTTCACTTCCATACTTTGAAATAAAAACAAAAACCAAAGCAAAACTTTACTGTAGGCATCATCCAGAATGGGAAAAACCCTTCACTGGTAGTACATCATCGGAGAGAGGATTAGTGTAAAGAATATGTGGAGAGCTCCAAAATGTAAACACCAAGAAAACAAGCAATCCAATTAAAAATGGGTTATGGAACTGAACAGAGAGTTCTCTAAAGGGGAAAGGCAAATGACTAAGGGATACTGAAAATAGTGTTGAGCATGGACTGAGCAGCTACAGCACTGTTGGCCCCTCTGGTGTGAGACAGCCACTGCTCCATCTGCTCAGCACCCAGTCTCAACTGTGGGGTAGACATCTCAGGTGAGATTCAGCTGTTGTTACTATTTCAAAGTGAGCTAATTTAATGAATTGTATGCCTAAACATTAACAAAAATAATGAATGAATAGATAATAAGTAAATAAACAAAGCAAACAAGCAAACAAGATGTTGGTCAGAGAAGCAGGTAGGTGAATGCAGACCTTCATGTCTCTATCCTCTCCTCCAAATCCAACATTCTAGTCGCATGCCCGGATCTGCAGCTGACCACCTGCTTCAGCCTCTCCTCACTCTGTCCCCATTCCCATGAAGCTAAACAGATCATGGTGTAGCACTCTGCTTTCTTCCTTCTGTTGACCCCCTAAGCCCTATGTCACAGCCCATCCCTGTTCCTAAGTGTCAGCTGCCAATATCTAGACACACTTTGTACCTGTAATCCCTAGTGGGCACCACCATTAGGATCCTAGAAGAATTTCCTACCAGGCACCACACAGTCACCACCCCTCCTAAGAACCAGAGAGGACAACAGAGTCTAAGGAAAAAAAATATTCACTCAACAAAGACAAAACCAGATAGCAACATGTACAAATACAATCTTCTCAAATCCCAATGCCTAGACACTAGCATAAAAAACATAATTGATAATAAACAGGAAATCCCTGCTCCATACTCTCTTCTTACAGCAATGTTTAATGGGATATTATCAATATTTTCTTTATGCATCACTGATACAGATTTAGCACCCCCAAATATTACCTTTTGTCAGGTGTAACTCAACTGAACTAATGGTTTTCTGAGAAATAATTTTATTCTCCCCTTAAACTTCTTAAAATATGTAGTGAAGCTGGACTCCAATTTCCATGATCTTCATCCTTAGATGCATCAGAGAAGAACTGACTCATGACTGTGCGTAAATAAAGGCATGGAAAGGAAGAATGGAGAGTAAGTTGCAAGAGAACACAGGTGCCTTTGTGCTTAGCACTG